ACCAACAGACCTGTACATAAATCGATAATATGGCAGAATAATCTGCAAATGTTTGTTTAAGTGTTTACGCTGAACTTACATAACAGCGTTAATAACTTTGATCAGTAATATCGCAAATTTGACTCTTGAGAGTTGTCCTATAATTCAGATACGACGCACGTTTGGACTCAAATGTAAACTGTACAAGTGGGCATGACGATGAATAAATTACTAAACCTTCTCATTGATTACATTTGCTTCTTAAAATTTTAACTAAACGTCCCAGCTAAATAAATTGTGCTGCCTGTTTAATTATTCATCAGACAGACTATGCACACGGCAAATTGTAACAAAATATTGGCTTACTGAGTGAATGAACCGGTTGTGTCCAGAATTTAAAAATACATTATCGTTTGAAGATAATGAGACAATAGGATGAGACGATTTGCGGCAAAAAGGAGGAATGATGGTTACTGCTAAAAATTCGCCCTTCTGCAATTTGCCATGCTGCTTTACATTTTACAGAAAACGATAAACGACAGCGATATTTGTCAATGCGAACAAAGTCAATTAAACTTTCGTTCAGACGGTGCTGATGATCATGTCGGTCAGCGTCGAACAGCCGCCGTCCCATTTTTAGATAAAGTGCAAATCGCAAGGACAGAGAAGCGGAATTGATGTCAAAACTTCTTCCTGAAAAACAGGATGTCATTTACATGCAACATGCGTGGAATGTCTGAGAAGATGCTCTGTAGATCATATCCCATGGAAACAGCTGAATTCGACCTGCAAATATAGGCTAGCTTCAAGAGATACCTACTAGCGCATTGCGCACACAAACAACAAAGACTTTCGAAAGTGCTGCATGCCAAGTCCACAGACTGGCTGAGCGACGTGAGACGATTTGCGCCAAAAAGGGAGATTAACAGTAATTTTTCATAATTTGCCAGTCGGCAATAGGTGTTACCGCTTTAAATTTTGTGGAAATCATCAAAGGACAACAACATTGTTTAATGCTTGCGGAGTTAACGAACTGTTCGGTCAGACAGTGCTGATTATCCCGTCGGTAATAGCTTTCGGCTTAAGTCGTTTACAAATACGGACAGCTGCTCTTCCATTTTTTGTATGAGGTGCAGATCGCAAGGGCGGAGAAGCGGCATAAATGTCAAAACGCCTACCTGAAAACTGGATATCATTCAATCCCAAGTGTGTGGTGGAACATGTGTGGAGTATCCGAGAGGCAGCTCTATCGAACATATTCCATGGAAACTACTGAATGTGACCTGCAAGCATAGGCCAGGGCATTGGACACACAAAAAACAAAGACTTTCCAAAGTGCTGCATGCTAAGTCTACAGACTGGATGACTGACGTGTATGGTATGGTATCTGATCAAGTCTCTCTGCAGGATAAACAATACGAGCTGCTTAGGTCATTTGAATCGATGCTACACTGTTGGTTTTCATACATAAGTCATAAGTACTCACAATCATTCTACGAAGATCTTAATATGTCATGATCAGATGTAGCCGTTACGGCGAGTGTTCATGCAATTCGGGTCATTATTTGTTTCTGGTTTAGCCCAACCGACTATTCTACCGTCTATATCATCTCTACCGGTGAATTTTTAAAGCTGTCAATAAAACCTTCTGCACTATAGACTGTATTCCTAAATGTTAAATTGCTGGCATGTCTTTTCGGAAATCATTTCATGTTGAAGCTGCAGTGCAATTATTTGATTGGTTTTTTGCCAAGACAGAAATAAAGAACACAGCAAAGAGTAACGATTGTAAATCCCAATTCGCCTTCATATTACATACGCTCAGCTGCATTCCCCCTGCACATGCAACCTCTAGTTCACAGGCGACATGTCCAAAATAACTTGCTGGAAGCCGCATTTGATGCTAATTGGTTCAGCTCATTAATGGTTTTTTTTCGCCACCGAAAATCCGCAGGCCATGGGGTGGTCCTTTTTCCCGGAGTGATGCCCGCGTCTATTCTGGAAAAAACAATTCCATCAAAATGCAATATTCTTTCCTTTGACAGCTCACTCGAAATGATGTAAAATTCGGCGACCGCAGAAAAGTTCAGAAGGTGAAATTTCATCAAATCCGCTGTCCGATACGGCAGTCCAAGCAACCTAGCCAGGCCATCGTTTACCTGAACCCAGTTTAGGCATGATTTAGTTTTTGTTTTAAATCATCAAAATAAATTTGACATAGATTATGCAAGTGCATTTCAAACTACTATTTTGCTCGCGTATTTTCAATAAAAGCTAAAACGTTTCCTTTTATACCGTTTCGGTTGACATTGCAGCGTTAAATTAAACATTTACGTTTAAGTGAGGCAGCTTGCCTGTTAAACATGGATGGCCATACTATGATAGCTATAGCTTGTTTCAGCCCAGTCAGTCGTGATCCAGATTCCATAAATGAATCAACAGCGCTTTATGTATATACTGTGGCACCACAAGGAGCAATCGGACACTGTTTTCCATATAATAAATGCATAAAAGTCTGGTCGCTGGCTCATTTGATACACTAAATATCTTTGGGAAGCGTTTCTTTTATCCGAAGCTATTAGTCCAACAACGCATAGAGTTTACTTATTATCCTTGAAATAAACTTTTACGAAGCAGATCAGAGAATACGAAAAACATATTTGTAGCAGTTTATCAGGTCAACGTCCATGCACCAAATATGACATACAATAAATACAACGCCATACGCGTTTCAGAGCAGACCCATTCTGCATAGACCTAGTCGGTCGCTATATTTGTTTCCATTCGAGCATGCTTTGCAATTATACAGAGGAAACTTTCACAGATTGTTATAGGCCCCAGATATTTAAGGTGAGCAAGCAGTTCCAACAGCGGCAAATGTGACTAGGCGGTTTTTGCCTTTCTGGATAAATGCGCATATAGAATAATTTTAACCGGCTTTTTCAATTAAACGATAAAATAGCATTTGATAGGCATAAAGAAATACGAATCAAATTAAAAGTGTTTACCTTCAGAAGAACGTTGCAGTCAATGCGTGAAAAAATAAGAGTGCATTCAAGTCTAACGATTGCGGCTCCTTCAGTTTTATTCATAAGGAATCATGCACGAAGTACTGGGTGAGGCTGAATAATCATTCGGAATTGTGTTTTGCTGTTGTCTGTGTACGGAAGGTCTTCTGAAAATTCGGGAGTCGCATGCATTCTATTCAGTAAGATATCGGAAATAAAGACGTTCCCTCCGGTACGTGGACAGAGTGGCCAGGCTTATTAAGCGGACATAAGAATGTTTCATGTAGAAGTCTATTAATGTATGCTTTTTAAATGTTAATATTCTGTTTAATTATAAAACAAATCAACGTTCATTTTCGTTTTGAGTAGGCGAAAATGCGACAGATGTGCAGTAGGTGGGCCAACTCGAGATACTGAATAATGAGACACGATCGCCGGGACAATAGCTTTATTAGCCTGACGTTTCCGATTCCTACTCGAATACGTCATCAAAGACAAAAAAGCTTTTAATCGATAATTGAGTGCAGTGTGTTATTCTAATAAATCAGTTACTTTAGGATGCCGGACGTTTGAGCGGATATTTTACAGCATGGAATGCATATACTTTGTAAATAATGACTATTTATACAGCATGCATCTTACTAATTGATTGCTGATGCGCTTAAAATGGAATTTTATTTATGCAAAGCATAAATCATAATATTCATTATTTTTCTTATTTCGTAGGAACTTACACCTGCTTCAAATCTTGTATTCAAAAAAGGACATAATCTTATTTTGAAAAGTTTTCAAATTTGAGATTCTTTAATACCGCCAAATGTCCATTTATAAAACTGAATGTATCTGCATCTACCAACTTGGCCTGTAAAGTCACCAAAATGGCTCAAATACACTGATAAGTTTTATGATCCCCATTTTTTTCTTCCAATACCGTGGAGAAACATATGGTTTTCTGCACGCAGCATATAAGAATCTTGTAGTTTGGAGATTAAAAAACGCAAGTGTAAGGGCTAATCGTGGTAGAAAAATATTGGGAATTAGGAAAGTTTGAAAATCCGAATCATCCACTTTTTTCCAGTAAACATTGAAAGAAAACATAGTGTTCCATCGAATGTGCAAAGGACTGAATATTCGTATAATATTTCGTATGCAATATAATTTAATTATTATGGGCACGGAAAACCAATGGGAAAAATGTCTCCTTTTAATGTATTCACTTGATACAGAGTGCGGCATTTGTATGCAACCGGACAAAACTTCGTTCGAAAGGCCGCATCTTGGGGTAATTAAATTGATGTAGACATACCAAGTGGTGAAGTACCTGACTAATTTACCTTTGACAACTTACTCCCATTTTCTTTGACCGGATTGCTTGTTTGAATGTGACGAGAAACGACACACCTGTACAACCCGCCTTGCTACCGTGTTCCGTGTTCTATCGTTAAGTTTTCTTAACGTTCAAAATATCTATATTATTCACTGTTCCGTTGTACTAGCTGCATTTAAGGATAGGGGCTAGTGAGATATAACTCGCTAGTTCGCGAGAAAATTACCTCTAACGACATTGATAACTCCCGCCGTTTACGCAGACTATACCTTTCTGTCGTACTGCATAAGATTTAACGTTTTTTGTTTGTGAATATCTATCCAATTTACATTTACTTTCCTCACGAATTCTGATATTTTGCCATCTCTCTCTAATTATGTCTCACTCCAATCAACAACTTGATGTCCCCGCCCAGTTCCTTCATGCAATCAATTTTACCTTGCCTAAATTCTGGCAACACGCTCCAGAACATTACTTCATCCGCATAGAATCAGCCTTTTATTCTGCCATCCTTACCAAGGAACTAGCAAAATACCACAAACTTGTGGAGGTCCTCCCCGCTAGTGTCATCTCTCAAGTTCAGTCCTTGCTAGCTAATCCTCCTGTTGATGCTCCTTTCTCCACGTTAAAGGCGGAAATTCTACGAATTAAGAGCATCCACTTCGAATGCGATCTCTCATGAAGACATGGAAGTAGACGATAAATTTGTCAGGGACATTTTCCTAGAACGTCTGCCCACAGATGTTCAAACGATCCTGGCTTCCGCCTCTGAAGACCTTACGGTCTCACAGCTGGCTGAGATGGCGCATCGAATAATAGAGGTGCAGCGATTCCAGCCACCTTCCGTTGCTAAGATCTCCTCATCTTCATCGTCAGTGAATGAAAATTTATTGAAACAGGTTTCGGCCATGGCAGATGACATGGCCTCCCTTAAAATACAGCTCGACCGCATAGCTTCCAGTCGCTCGCACAGCCGTCGTCGTTCTCGTTCGCGACCTCGGACTGCTGATACTTGATGGTATCACACTAATTTCGGCGTAAAGGCCGTCATTGTTCCTCACCCTGCTCTTTTAAACCGAAACAGGGAAACCAGTCAGCCAGAGAATAGATGCGACCGTTTTTTCTGGCTGTTCCGGCTCTGGTCGCACCTTCTATGTTTCCGACACTGCGACTCGCAGACGTTTTCTTGTGGACACTGGAGCCCAAATCAGTGTTGCTTCCCCAACTGCAGCTGATCGTCGTTTCCCTAGCCCTGGTCTTCATCTTCAAGCTGTTAACTGTTCCCCCGTTCCCACTTTTGACAGTCGTTCCTCACCCTGAACATTTTCCTTCGTCGGTTATTTGCCTGGATATTTTTGATTGTTGATGTCCCTCATGCAATCCTCGGCTCGGACTTTCTTGCCGAGTTCGAACTCCTTGTTGACTGCCGACGTGCCCGTCTCCTCGACCGCACTACCGGTTTGTTGTTTCGTGGACTAACTCTCTTTACTGCCCACACCAACTTATCTGTCTTGAATACGGATATTGCTAGTCCTTTTCGGCAACTGCTGCTTAGTCATCCCAACATAATTAACCCACAGATTCGCAGTGGTGAAGTTCAAAGTGATGTTGTGCACCACATCCGCACCTCATGTCCTCCTGTGTAGCTCGACCGAGACGACTATCACCGGAGCGTTTTCAGGACGCAAAGGCGGAGTTTGAACACATGCTGTAATTGTGAATAATTCGACCTTCCAAAGCCCTTGGGCGTCTCCACTGCACGTGGTGCCCAAGGCAACATCGGGCGACTGGCGATCCAGTTGCGACTATCGTGCCCTCAACAGCGCTACCATTCCTGATCGGTACCCCGTGCATCATCTTCAGAACTTCGATGGAGCCCTTTTCGGCAAAGCAGTTTTCTCGAAGATTGATCTGGTGCGTGCTTTTCATCAGAGTCCAGTCGCCCCTGCGGACATCTCTGAAACCGCCGTCACCACACCCTTCGGTCTCTTTGAGTTCATCCGCATGCCGTTTGGTCTTGGTAATGCCGCTCTAACGTTCCAAAGGTTCATTGGCCATGTCTTGCGTGGCCTACCCTTTGTGTACGCCTACATTGATGACCTCTTGATGGCCAGCCGGAATGAAGAAGAACACAAAGAACACCTTTCCTTGGTGTTTGACCACCTTGACAAGTTTGGCGTTGTCATCAACCCCTACATGTGCGTGTTGGGTGTGCCTTCGCTGGAGTTCCTTGGTGACAAGGTCGAGTCTAAAGGTTTGCGTTCCCTCCCATCCTAGGTTGAAGCAGTTCATAATTTTCCCCCTCCAACTTCCAAGCGTCAGTTACAGCAATTCCTCGGCATGGTCAATTTTTACTGTCGGTTCCTACCTAACTGTGCTGACCTCATGCCGCCGCTCACCAACATGCTTTCTTGTACCAAAGGTCCCCTCGAGCTAACTGGTGAAGCTCTGACTGCTTTTGAGAGAATCAAGAATTCCCTTGCTGATGCTACCTTACTCACACATCCCGCTCCCGAAGCTCAGCTGTCTCTGATGGTAGATGCTTCGACCGTAGCCGTAGGTGCAGTCCTTCAACAACGCATTGCTGGTTCGACTCAACCACTTGCCTTTTTCTCCAAAAAGCTCTTACCAGCTGAGACACGCTACAGTACCTTTGGCAGTGAAGTACGTGCCACTTACCTGGCTGTGAAGCATTTCCGGCATTTCCTTAATACTCAGTCGTACAACCCAACATTATGACTATTGTGGAAAGAGCAACACATGTGGGAAATTCGATTTACATTTTACGAGGCAACCTACCAACTGCAAATCATCACAACTTATGTTTGACGAAAAACACTACTGCTTGTCCCTTAAGGCTTTAAAATGTAGGCGTGGCTAATGTATGTGTACGAGGTGGGGCAAACAACCCACATTACTTATAAAGGTAAGCTTTCGAATAATTCCGAAATATGCAAAGTATTTCCATAGAGTGATTCACCGACTTGATAAAATTTTGGCCGAAAATCTAAAAGGTGTCTCCAATTATGAAGGATTATTGAGGTGGTGTTGATATAGTAATTGGCGCTGACCGATAGTTCATAAGGAACTTATTCGTTCCGTTGTGCCTTATGGGCTCTCTTCCGAGTCCAACCAGCAGCCGCACAGCGGCGCATGATATAGACAGAATGACATTAAGACGAAGACAAGAAAGACTAGAATGGCCATTTTTGGCTTATTAGCCGTCGTCAACCAGTCATACCTAACCCCGAATTGTGAAAGTCTTGATACTCGAACTCACGAGCTGTTTATTTGAAGTCCACGCCTGTAACCACTGAGACACCAGCCCGTGACCGTGTCGGTTTAGATCCGGAATATACAATGGTAGGGGGCGGTCACCGATCGCACGGCACCACTTTATATTCCCGATCGAAACCGACAAGGCAACGTAGCCCTGTGGTTGGAGGCGTCGAATTCTAACGAACGGGTCGCGAGTTGGAGCCCCGGATGTTCCATACTTCGTGGTTAGTTATGACTGGCTGACGACGACTACTAAGCCGGAAATAAACATTTCAGTCTTCTTTGCCTTTATCGATGAGTTAATGTTGTTTAACTTGCCGTATAATTCTGTAGTCTTTCAGTCTGTTTGGCGTTTGAATTTACGTCTTTTCGGCCTCTCGCAGAATTCAAACTCCGCAACAATCACCACGTAGTGTGCACGCGTTTTTACATTCATTTTTAACAGTCATATTCAGTCAAATATACATTGCAGAAAACTGGCACAATTCAAACTGTTAGTAACTTGTTCCCTAGGAAATGAAATTGTTAACGAATTATGTACCCTGCAAAATGGGACATTTTGGTTTAAATAAACGTTTTGATATCAGCTTTTTAATCCCCTGCGACGGGTATGCGTAAAGAGCCGTACATGTGCGTTAACAGATGCTCCTTAAAAAATGGGCAACATAGTCTGCATTCACTGCGAAATTTAATAAACTCTATATAGTATCTCCTTAAAGGCAAAGATGAATATTTCAATTTATTTACGAGGGAGGAATGCGCTTTTCACATTAAAAACCGGAAAACGCTAATGCAATATCTAAACAGGTTCGAAAATTAATGGTTTGTGGAAAGATTGTTCAAAACATTAATATACACATTCGTCGGGTAAAATATGTGAACATATCCTGGATTTCTACGTCTCGAGTAAAAAGCACATACTTGTGTATGACATCTATAAAATATATTTGAATGTATAGGACCGTTGAAAATCAATGTGAAAAGGCACGCTATTAAGCGGCCATTATTTAATGACTACGGTTTCAACAGAAAGATGAAAAGAAAGTAAATTCTAAAGCCGCTTTCCATCTGTGTCCCTCATACAAGTGTATTGTGCTGGATGATAAGCAGTTTTACAGCAACGCCAAAAACACCTTTCTAATCTTACTTTCAGAAATTCAGAATACCAGAACTTCGGCCAACATTTCATGAAATCAGTCACTCACTGAAAGCCAATCTCATCAAAATTAACTGTAAATGAATGATCTACTGGTTCTTTTTCCAACCAAATACTGGCTATCCGGCACTACACTGTCAGTGCACTCTTATTGCACGAAAGTTCATTCAACGGCAAAAAAATTCGTTACTTTTGACACTGCTGCCGTGCATAGTCCAGCATGCATATAAATCTTGATTGCGATATAAAATACGCTCACAGGTGAACCAGAGACTAAAATAAATAATATGGTACAATAGTAGATAGAGTTTAGGAAAGAGTCGCAGTAATATAACCTACACGTCTCCATGACCTTCCGACAGGTCAACGTTAGCCGCATTTGCTGAATCAACGTAAGCAGTACAATAAACCAACTGCAGGGCATGCTTCTCAAAGGCGGATAAACTGTCTTTCTGTACGTCTGTCTTCATTTATGTAAAAATATCACATAAGCAAAAAGTATGCGCATAGAAGCAAATAATGGCTATGCGATTTGCTCAGAGACTTTGGGCACGTGTGTGTGTGAGTGTGTGTGTGTATCTTTCATGCCATGATTCAAAAAGCCCTTAATTTTGCAGCGTAGTGTAGGCTGACAGGTCTCTGCCGCCTGGCTCCCTGACGGTAGGTGCGCTTGCGTTCCCGCCGGGAAACAGGTCATGTGCATGGCTGCCCTGGATTCGATTTTCTTTCAATTGTTGTGCTTGCTATTCGATAGTTTCGTTAACCTGTTTGTTGTCAATCACCGGACGTTGTGATGCGTTCATATGCGGGTTCGGTTGTGCCCACCATCCCACCACCCCCCCGCCTTCGGTAAGCTGACTAAGTTCTGACCACCGCTCGGCGATTGGACTCTGGAAAAGGTAATCTGACGCCAAATTAAGCACCTCGGTAATGCATAATTTGTCGCCATTTCTGTTTACCTGTCTGCACGTGTACAATCTTCATGTTTGATACCTTTTCACGATCTGGAAAAATTAAAACAAAATCACAAACTTCGTAAATGCAGAGAATTCTGTGTTGGGTAGAACAATAAAGAATACTGATAGAATAAATTTTGTTTCATGTAGAGCAATATAACGAGCTTCTTTAGATATTCTGCTAGTTAAAAAAAAATTCCTGACAAGACACATGAGCCTTTGGGTGGTGAACTGTATTTAAAAAGCACGCATTTGCCTGCAAACCATACGAATGTATGCAATCATGCAACAATGCAGTACAGTGAGCCACCATCCTCATAAAATGCTGGTCTAAATTGAAATGCAGTTTGTATTAGAAAAATTTACCTAGGTGAATTTGCAATGCTGAATATCTTGCAGTATTATCCTATAACATATTAGACTCGAATTTTTTTCAATTCGATTTTTCATTTACGTCTTCTCAATCTCCTGCAGAAATCATACTCAGCAAAAATGACTGCTTAAGCGGCATGCATTATTTTCATTGATATTTGATGGTCTTATACGTATGTGTTTGCTGTATTTGGATATAAGTTTGACAACATGGCGCAGATTGACTGATACATTTTTCAAACTCTTATGTGGCCAAATTTTATTTACGTACAGCGATAGAATAGGTGTGCAATTTCATGAAATGTTAACCGAAAATCCTACGTACGCTTCTCCTTCAAAAATCATAATTAAACAAGTTTAAAATGCTAATCTTTTAACAGCAGATTTCTAAGATAATTCAATTATCCTAGAATGCCAGCGTTTGAATGCACTTATTTTCGGCTGCATGCGAAATATAATATCTGCAAAAATGGAAACTTAAATAGCATGCATTTTACTCGTTGTTTGTTTACGCCCTTAAATAATCCGTTAAACTGCATAAAACACATACATGACATATTCATGTTTATGTTCATTTGGAATCATAACGTTGTCTTAAAATATTGTACTCAAATACAGGGCGTAAATTGCTTTTTAAATTTTTGTTCTGCTGCCTAATAATTTCGAACCTGATTGTCTTCATAATTGCAATCTGGGTTTTTGACTTGCAAACCATATTTTTCTGCACATGGAAAACCATATATTATTCTACGGTTTTGAGTGCAAAATGTAAGGAATCCATGAATTTTAATAGTGGATTTAAGTCATATTGTTAACTTTACAGGCCACATTGTTAACTGCAGAGACATGACGTTTTATGAACGGCCATTTCTGTTTATTAAAAACTCTCACAATATGATACTTCTTGAAAATAAATTATACTAACCATTTCAGCATACATGTGGAAGGGAACGTAGGATTACACCATATTAGTAAAATAATAAATATGTCTTATGCATTTTTAATGCTATGTAAATTTATTTTAAGGACATCGACAATAAGTGAAAGAGACGTATTCTAATTTTTACGAAGCTTGATTTGCCCATGCAGCCGGTAATCTAAGGTAACCACGTTATGATAGAATAATGCTGCATTATGATTAGTTTTGCGACCACACCTAATTAATCGTATGGAAACGGAATTGCATTTCCGAACTTTCGTGGACGTTATGAGTTAGCACATCTACGGTATATTGGTAATTGTGTACATATTAATAATCAAGTCCCAAATGACCTGAACTTCTATAACACCCGCTCTATGACGAAAGTACAATGGGTCTGTTACCATAAGACGAAGATGCGATCACTGGAACAAGAAAGTTTCTGGCCCGCCATTTCGGATTCTTACTCGAACCCATCATCACAGATAGTCGCAGATAAGGGTAATGGTCGCAAAAACGTGCGGTGCAGCACGACTCTGTGTCTGTTTATCGAAACAACCAGTAAAGGTAAAGCCGATTTAGTCTGGCACTTTAGAGCAGTACCGCCGAGCCCGGAAGGTGTTCTAGAAAAACACGGAATAATACGTGGAAGTCCAAAAATGAGCAATCGACGGACAGAGAAATGAAAGCGATGCCCACTGCGGGTGTTACATAAAAAGAAAAAGTAAGAGGCGGATTGCAATTCTGATTTCGCGCTTGGCATTGATAAGTAGGTTGAAGTCGATGGCAGCGGAAATTGCGAAAAAGGGAATAAAAATGAGGGAAATTAGAGGATGGTGCGGTGAAGTAGCACTACGAGTCTTGACAGGAGAAGTGTCCGGGACAATAGCACATGACGACCTCGCGAGTTATGCGCTGGATGTTGAACGTCTTTGACCCCTGACATACAAACATGACGGCAAACTTTATGGTCCACGCAGGTGAGGAGACAAGAGAAACAGTTGGACAGAGCCCGGAAACCTACTGTTATTGGGCTGATTCATAAAATGTCGGCGGAAATTTCAAAAACGACAATTAAATATGGTTGTAAAATTCACCACCGTCTAGCATAATTCTATAATGATCCACTTACCTCCGGGTGTCTCCTTTCGAATGAACGTATTTTCGATTGCATGAACGAACAATTCTGGTAAAAAAGGACTATTTCAGCAGCATGTAATTTTCCCATTTATTGTCGATGTTATTAAAATTCCAATTATATGGCATGAACAAAAATTTATGAAACAGTTAACCCATTCATCTATTCGGTAGTAAATGGCATCTTTTTCCAATTTAGTTTTCGAAAAACGAATAAGATTCGATTGTGAAAATTTTAATATCGTAAAGTGGTCGTTCTTACAACGTTATTGCATCCGTCTTTAGAAATGTGGCTTGCAAAGTTGACAATATTCCTTAAATGCACGACCAAATTACATGAAGCGCATATATAGGGATTTAATACACAAAAAATATTCGGCTTGAACTTTCGAAACGCGGAATGCAATTATAACAGTAGATGGAGTTCCATATTATTCGGAATTATTAAAGATTTAGGACAGATTTATACACTTCCGTCGAATGTACAATTGGATGAAGACGTAATTTGTCATCGAAGTAGTAAAATAATGAATACTTCTATATATGTTTTTTTATGAAATATGGTTGAATTTGCAAGGGCATCGATAATCAACGAGACAATTACATGCTACATCAGTAATTGTTTCTTTGCCGACAATAATTTTGTATGCAGTCGGGAATAAGTTCGTTCAAAAGAAGGTAACCTGACGTATCTGATTCATCCTTAAATTTTTGCTCCATGCTGTTTAGTTTTGTAGCACCACTTAATTATACTTTTGAAAACGGAAATGCATTTCCGAATTTTCGTTGACGTTTCATGACTTAGTTTACGTAGTCTACCATATCCATTTGGATTCTGCCGAGTCTGGAATCACTTTCAGTCAAGATGCCGATGCGGACTTTGTTACGTCGCTGAATCTTGTTTCGTTGATAGCCGAGACTCGCACGTATACCTGCTTTGATGTCATTGTGCATCCCAGAAGCGACAAGGCGGTCGAAAATCGGATTGTCAGGAGCTCTGATCTCAGCATTGTGTAGATTGTGCAGAGAGAACGAATAAATGCCAAGAGCGTCTCGCATCCCAATTGAGTAGGAGTGCGTAAAGCCAACATTGAAGGCTCATCCACTATCCTCTCTGGAGGACCGCGTTCCCCTTTACTTGGCAGTCTTGTTAGCCATGGATTTCGGCCCGCATGTACGACTTATAAAGCATTGCTCCTCAACCGCACAAACAGAACTGTTCAAAAATCATTGTTAACGACGATATCCACAGCAGGTTGAAAGCAGCAACAGTGACTTGCGATTGAGTTCCTTTATAATGGAATTGAAACTGTCCTGGAATTTTCCGCAATCTCTTCTCCACACTCGATCTGTGTTCGGGGTAACAAAAGTGTCTAAAAGACCGCAGGCGGAAGAGGGTGCAGGTGGCTGTTAGGACGATTATTGGCATCTGCAAGTGGAAACACACCCGGTTTTTTCACAAAAAAGATGCGATCTCGTAGGAAATGCAGACTTTTGGGTCATGTGCACCTGATGCTTAAATAAAGATGAAACTGCAGTCCCACATTCTAGCTGCAAAATCTAAGGGCATGGATTAACTGAAACAACCTGGTGACGGGTTGCGTTTTTTAGACAGATTCACCTGCGGCCAATGCGCTGTTAAACCACTATTAGTTTGGAGGACAAGAAATGGACACATCGACTCACTTCATCTCTGCAAGCGGCACCTGTCATTGCTGTAATTCCGTAGCATTTGGAAATTTACACCTGCCGTGATTCAAAGACTCAAGTCAATGCAATTTCCTCCCAACTAATTGTATGCTATTCTTTCGTGGTCTGGATTGAGTTTAATTTCGGCAATTCAGAAAATACCATGTTGAGATGGAACATCTCTGGGTTCCCTTACTTCTAGTTGAAAACTGTATGTCTAGGCGTCTAGTAAAGCATGATTGACTGAAATGAAATAGCGTATATGAGAACAGCATAAGTAGGCATTCTGAAGCTCCTAACCCAAATTACCATTCTTACGCTTTGTCATAGGTCATAGTACGAGAATATCCAATCGAATAGCCATTTTTCAAAGGCGGAATATGGTCAGGTTTAGTCAAAACGTGCCGGCAGGAAACAGCCGATGCGGTTCTTGTTGATTTTTACGTAAACATATTGATTTCGACATTTTTACAATTGGAAAGCCAACCTTCAAACCAAGGGAAAAGCGATTCGTAAACACCAGCATAGCAGACATATTTGAATGGGTTCAGTACTCCAGGGCACAGTTGTGGCTTAGAAATATGCAGTCAAGATTTCAGGTTCATCGCTTCAACAAGTATTTTTCTGGATTGAAATTTAGGCAGCATCTCTCATTCGATGACTGACTAGTTACACAACCTTTCGAAGGGTGACGACCCAGCCTATATTCCGTTCTTTATGAATTCCATCTGGCCTAACCTTTTTGTCACGTCTCGTATGACTACATTTGGCCTGATGTACGCTTACAGTACTCCGGCGCCTGATTCCCCTCCGGAGGATGTCCGTGCGATTCCGCCTGATATACAGGTCTTGAGCAGCACTGGGCAGTCCTTCACTTGTTTCTGACCTCCTTTTTCTTTTTTTCGGTTTAAATCCTGATAATTGGATGATGGCAGAATTTTAAGGATTGAAAATATAATCATCAAGCTTAGTAAAGAAGCAGTTCGTAAATATCGGTATATCGCAATTATTTTGGTGGACGATTTACGATATGATTCAATACGCCAAGGTATGGTAGGAGCGTGCGCTTCAGATTTATTAAGAAATATCCGGTCAACGTCTCAGGATCGTCGCTTTAAATGTGTGTATAGGTCCAATTATTTTAATTAAAGTAAAAATGTATTGTAAACTTTCATGGGAGTTTCGGTGATTGCCACTTTTCTTCTGATTATTTTTCAAACGCGTGTTCTTCGAGAGGTCACTCATCCAAGAGAAGACCAAAATTAGGCTCTGAGGATTTTGCGTCTCCTATGCCCAGATTTGGCAATTCATGGACTTGTGGCCTTGTGTGCGCTGGCAGGCCACCTCATTTTCTTGTCGATTAAACTCCTCGTCATTTGCTGATGACTAAATTTTTAGGATTGCATATGCAATCATCAGCCAAGGAGAAGAACAGTTCGTGATAATTAGTATATTTAGAGTAATTTGGGAGGGCATGTTTAAGGCATGATTTAATACTCCTAGGGATGGAAGGAGCGTGCGTATCTGATTTATTAAGAAATATGCCGTCGATGTTTTAGGTGCGTTACTCCAAACGTGGGTGTCTAGATCAACTATTTTGATAAGAGACAAATTATATTGTATATTTTGATGGGGCACTTGATGACGGCCATTTTGCTTCTGTTTATTTTTCAAAAGGCTGTTTTGGCGAGAGGTCACCAACCCTGGTAATACCAATATCTGTCAATTTGGAATGCGTTATGCTTATCGCGAAAATTGTGCAATTTGACTTAGAGACAGCTAAAGGTTGTATGTTTAATTCATGAAAAACCTATAAGCGGTATACGTCGCATGAATCGTAAAGATGAAACAGAGCAGATTAAACAAATGTATTTAGAGCACATTTGACGTGACAATAGTGGCCAATTTCTCAGTGTGGATGATAAGGCTGCTTAGTGAATTTTGTGCTTGTAATAATTTTTTTCGGGTGTTGTCCTATCAGTTATAAAACACGATTTTGACTGAAACGGTAAATTGCGTGACAAAGCCATTGGCATGCCGATAGCAGTAGCTGGATGCATATTCCCTTATTAAGCACTTACAGCCCTTTACTTTTTTTGTAAACATTTGTCAAGAGAACTAAAACAACTAAAACCACTTACACCAACAGATCCCCTAACAACAATTTACCATTAAATATGCCGTGGAAGGAAACATCTTTGGGCAGAAGTCTACATTTGCCATGAGATTTCAGAAATCATTTTCTAAGATTTGTGGAGTTGATTCATGTTAGGGGTTTACGCAAAGATTTGTTGGAGCGCTTATATGGTACGTTTACATGAAATATTACCAGCGTATTCTCTATACGTATGTTTTTCTTCTTATTTTTCTTGGACCTCATCGGAAGCAGTCTTAAATCTCGCTAGATGCATTCGCTGATACTGGTAAGAGACGTGAACAATTACCGTCGCATCGTCTCTGAAACGTAAGCGGCATTTCGCTTAATACCAGGAAGCGTTTTTTCGGTATGTTCTTAGCTTAACTCTCGACCTAATCTTAAGCTGAATCCCAATCTCACGGGAATTAGACGCATGCCATGCATGATACGGCGGGCGAGAGAGGTCGCGGAGCCGTGCATGCATTTAACCGACCTTTGCTCGCTGTACACGTGGAGGAGCTTGTACCAGATTCTTCTGTGCGTATGAGACCGGCTTTCATAGCTTTATGACCGTCATCATTTTTTTGCTGCCAGACGCTGTCCGAGTAACTAACATCAATTTGGTGAGACAGTGCAAGTAAGACGGGAAATCCCTCTGTGGTCTACACGGTGCCTGGGACCAATCATGTGTGCGGCGATTGCACCATTTAGGCTTTTTACTTCACCCTTTATCAACTGTGTCAGAATGTGTTTCTGTGTTCTTTGGATAGACATTTAGTCATGTAACTAATGTAACCAGCTTTATAGGAACAATTTAAGGAATAGCCATAACTCCTAATCCTAACACCTAACCATAACTTCTAAATCAAACCCGTAGCCATAGCTCCTAACCCTAACCCCTAACTTACACCTCTACCCTAACGGTATTGTGTCCATCAGATGGCGCTAGCAAACCACATCTTACGCAAACTAGACTTACATTTTCGTTCATAATAGGATTTGTTTAGATTATTCCCTAAATATATATTGCTTCACAGCAGAAGAAAGAGTCTGATTAAGGTATCGTCTCAGAAGATCCATCTCTACGCCCCGTACGATAATTGCAGTCGCAATGTTTCCCCTATGCGATTGTCAGTGTCTCTAGTAATTGCGTAGCCAATCTCCAGTTGATCAGTGCTTAGCTGAAATTGTGCTTTGTGACCGCCTCCAGCGGGCAGACATTTCGCTCCAAGGCAACATTAAGTTTGAAGAGCCCTTATTTTGTGTGTTTTGATCGCCTTGAATAGCAGAGTCGGATGGGCGGGTGTAACTAGCTCTCTCAGGGGATATCCGCGCTGAACAGTCTGCGCCCAGCTGTATTGCCTGTCAGAGTCCCTGCGGCTGCGCTGTGCGCCATGTCAGACGCTCTGACCTGCCAGAGAGGTCAATCTTACAGTAAAAATACCGCGCACAAAAGAATACGAGTTGTCACCGCCACCTTTGACTGCAGAAGAGACGCGCAATTTGTATCGATTAAGACGGCCACGGTGTTCGTGGTGCATACGAAAGCACCGCGGATCACAAACTGTGCTATAGCACACGCGTGCATAAACTCAGCACTGATCTAGCATGCATGAATACCTGTACACGTGACGGCGAAAATTAGGGGAGCAGTCAGGTGTTCTCAAATAGTCAAATATATTCTACCCTAACGTACACCTTCCTTCGGTTTTAGCCGTCATGGTCGTTACGATCAGTAAGCAATGTAATTGAGTGGTGACAAAAATTGTGGAATTCATTTCCAACTAAAAACAGATTATGTACAGCAGGTGGATCAACTCATGGAATATCAACCGAAATTCAGAAATGCGTTTTCGTTTCGAGCATATTAATTAAGAGGGACTGAAAATTCTTTACGAGATCACTAATGGCCGGAAGCTGGCTTTCGACCGAACACATTTCCGACCGCATAAGAAAACTATACGCCGCAAAAATGACTACCTAATAGCATCATTTTTACATGGATTTTCTATGCCCCTATAAATTCAATGGTTTTCGACTTGGCTTCTTTGCGACTGCTTACAAAGATCACACTTCGTAAAAACTGAGTGTATGCACAGGCTGAATTTTAAAAACATTCCTGATCACCTTTTAACTTTAAAATTATCTAAAAGAAATTACGATCAAATGTACTTCTTCGCGCAGCCATTGAGTAGTCATTTAGTTCTTCTTCAAATATCGTTCTCAATGACGGGACAAATGCAGACTTTAAAATTTTTCGCTTTCCCGAATAATTCTGAGTCCCAAAAATGCCTTCAACTGTTTTTCGAGCTAACAGTCTACATATTGTATAGTCTCACTGTAATAAAATGCCTTCACTTCCCAATACAACGCAGGACTCGTAAGTTGCTTCAGTGAATGTGGACTAGGCCTTACACTTCTTGAGAAACATTGATGAAATTGTCCTACAGAAATTATGTAGAGTTATCAGAACGCTAAATTAGTTGGGCCTAATCCCCTCTTGTAAAGAGATGACATAAAGACGACAGGATGAGGGGTTTTTTGCATACAGAATTCAGGGTTATCCTCCCTGGTGGCAGTGGATGTTGGCAAATTGAGGGCCGTTGTTTACTTCGCGAAGTCCTGCCTGAGAGTCCTAGAAACAGTGGTGGCAGCCACTTTTGTAGGTTCGGTGTTTGTTGCACTCGCCGAGGTGTGGTGTTTATGTGGTTCATGTTGTGGTGGCAGGAGGAAGATGCGGTAAAGTGGCCGCATGGGCCGCTGCGATCATGTGGGCACAGTGCTGTAGGAGGTAAAGTCGGTCGTGTGTCTTCTGGTCGGTGTGCCTGGAAAGGATCGCTGTAAGAGACAAGTTACTTTGAGGTAGTGCGGGCTTAACACAAGTTCACCGGACATAGCCATGACGGTTGTCGGCAATACCGTAACTGATGTTACTTGACTGCATGTGCTAAAAGCCTGAAATTTTATGGTTATACACATTCTGCAAACCAAAAAAATATTCCTCTCTTGTAACATCATAATTGAAAAGGATGCCTTAATGTATACCTTTATGCGTGCCTTGAAGGAAACGCATTTAAATTAACAACGATATAAAATATCAGTAAAACGTTTTTGTACTATTTTAATTGGCACTTTTACCGACTGCGGCCTTTACATATTACGAAGTACAGGGGTCCTTTATAGCGAAAATCCTGTTGTAACTGAAGTAACCTGGCATTTGTGCAACTTAGTTATCCGCTCTACTAAAAAGGTATAAAATAAAGTTTTTTTATAAAAATTGCACGGAATATGTCAGCTGCTGAATGTATGAAAGCAGGATTTCAAAAAAAGTACGAAGTGTTGATTATCCTGTTCAAGTTTTTACACAGATATATCGGGAAATTACTCGCTGTTATTTGGCAAGATTTTTAAGTGAGCGTACAGACTGCGGTAACATGCATATTTAATATCATGTGTGCATTGCCGGATTCGATGGTGTATCAAAGATTGAGTTTTGGTTACCATTAGCATTAAATGTTTCATAGTAACTTCCTCCGATGCTTCATCCTTTCTCCCTGTAGATTTCTAAATGGTCTCGCAATCCAACTTTGACATCGCCTGTCGGATAGATATAGGAAGTACATGAACGGCATATACAATCCTGCAATATAGCAAATCTATCACAACATAACAGGGATCTTTTAACTCCGAAAGTGATTCTGCTTACTGTGCAGAAGCCATAAGCCGGAGATACCTACGACGTAATCTCGAGTTCAAACACATTGATGTCCACAGTATTGGTTACCGATTTGCGAGCGTATGCAAGCGGTTCCTCTGAACTCAGATACAAATTTTACAGATTGCACTCCCTCAAGTAAAGTTTGTCTCCATAGCAGTCATACATCCGGCAATTTCGGTTTAGACATTTCCATGGTTGTTGGTAGCATTCAAAAGAATATCCCATTTCCTGTAATTTACTAAACATACGACAATCATCAAATTTAAGAAGAGTGATTTACTGTTAGGTTCTAAAAATTGATCCTCAGGAGAACTCATTTGAACAGCTGACGATTGAAAGTAAACTGTTAGCGTTTACCTTTGTCATTTATATTTCGTTAGCTCACCCATCATTAGGCCTATTAAAGGTGGTATACATGGGTTTTATTCCTTTAAATTCCTGGGCTGTCATGCGACCATGAACGTACTGTTCGACGGGAGCACAATGACAGAACACATACCCAACACTATCCTTGATGTCAGTAGAGAAAACATTCACGTGCGATGCATCAGGGTACTTTTCATCGGTTGATAACCGGGAAGGTGTTTCTGCTCAAAGCAATACTGCTGCGGATAGCATATCCTAAGTAATTGTAAGTGACAAAGCATGCCGTTCATTTAAATTTTATGCTCTACTTAATATCATTTTCCTTTAGGTATAGGGCACATATCTCTATTACTCATTAGTAGGTTAAGTTAAATATAAACCGCGCTGCATTTAGGAGAGACAAATTCAAAGTACTTCCACTTGTCGCTAAGAAGACGATAAAGCAGTAAGTAGTTGGTGTCCTATGTAGAAAGAAATCAAGTTTGCTAACTGGAATGTATATTAGTTCGTTTCATGCTTAAAAGGCTCATATGGGTAATTGATAATTTTCGGAGACACCTTTGACAAAAGTAATTTGTTGACATTCAGTCGCCGCATCAGCACAGATTGCCGTAGCCGACCTCATAGTCGTTCAGTCACTACAAAGCTTTCGAATTTTCTATAACTGCACATATCTCTTCCTGGGCTTCCGAGGATCTCTTTTACGCAATTAGCAGGTTAATATGGCTAAACAACCAAAACGACATTCTTACTTTACACCGTATCGCTATTGTACAATTTTGAAGTTTAGTCTGCTATGCTTTATGCTTTCGCTTTCCTTCTGAAGCACTGCTGTTTTGCATATAATCGCTAATAAAATTTATCCTTATTTCACGATGTATGCTTTAAGTAAAGTCTTCGATTTTTCTAGGCTGATACATATTTCGAAACAAACATTAATTTCTTTGCGTGTTTACTGCAAATTAACGCACGACACTTTTGCTTGTTAATGGGGGTATATTAGAGCTCTTAGCTGTTTACCCCTAAGTTGTAGTTCCTCTATACTTAAAGTTAGAAGTAACAACGTTGTCCTTGGGGAAAACCAATTTTAACAGTGAATTTCAATTTCCTACTGAATTATAAAATCTACGTCGAAAATGGTGACATCTCTTTCCTCAAAAGATGACGTGTCCATTAATTTGGCAGAAGGGAACTATACTCTACAATAACGCACACTGACGTTACCCGGATATTACAAACCCGTATGAAATAGTCGTCGATTAAAAGTCCTAGTAGGGCGTTGGACATCGTCAGTCTCATTACCATACAGGCGGTTGTATCTCCATCAGTCTTAGTGGATTTCGCACAGGGAAGACGGGTTGCCCCGGGAAGACGGGTTGCCCCGGGAAGACGGGTTGCCCGTTAGCCTAGCTGCTGGCTACCCGGCGCGTCCACATGTGGCGGATAGTGGGACGACCTTCAGTGAAGGTTAGCTGCGAAATAAGCAGACCCAGGTCTGACGAATAAGCAGTCGCGGACCAGCAGCGACATTGCTACCAGGGTGCGGTGGGCTGAAGTCTGGACAGCTGAAAGCCTTATAAAATGCCGCAAAGCACAATGACGGCATTGTGGCATGGCGACCGTAAACCGCCATTAAATAAGTTTACTTGCCACTGCTGCCTTGTGGTTAGGTTTTTAAGCCAAAGCGCTAGAGGAGACAACCTCGAACAAACAATCCGAGCGGCTGTTGGGGACCCGCCCGTATTCGAAATTCCCAAGAAACCTCATGCAACATGTCCAATAACAGCACTACGACCCATGCTACGGCGTCCGCGGGAACCGACGCGCTCCGTAACCCTAGTCCGGTGGTGCGGGCGAATAGTATGCCAGCTGGACTACTCAATCTTGGAAGGACTCTCGGTTTTCGATGCTGGAATGTACGAACGTTCCTGGACCCTGGTACCCAAAGTCTGACCGCACGCAGCCTTCATCAGTACAACGTGGATGTCTGCTGTCTGTGTGAGGTACGACTCCCTGACTCGAGCTCTCGTGAAATAAAGATCCCGGGAGTCGAATCCCACTTCACCCTGTACCACAGCGGCCCCCGCGATTCCTCTGGTCGACACGGTGTGGCGATCGCCTTATCACAACAAGCGGAGCTTGCGCTACTTGCTTGGGAACCAGTAAATGACCGGATGGCCTACGTGCAACTGAAGGGTCACTTCACGAACATCTCCATCGTCGCTGTGTACGCACCAACTTCGGCTGCCGAACAGGCGTTTTACTCTCAGTTGCAAGCACTAGTTGAAAGACTGCCTCGCCGCGATCTGCTGATTGTTGCTGGCGATTGGAATGGTCGAACTGGACCTGGCGACCCCACAACCAGTCATCTTCTTGGCCGCTTTGGGCTTGGTTCTCGATGTGAAAATGGTGAGAGATTGCTGAACTTCGCTGATCGAAACCGACTGCTTGTCACCAACACATGCTCCTAGCATCGCAAAAGACATCTGCTGACCTGGTATTCAAACGACGGTCGTACGGCCAGTCAGATTGACTACATACTAGTCAGCTCAAGGTTCCGCAGCTGGGTTCATGATAGCAGATCGATGCGTGGTGCCGAGACTGGTAACGCCCATGGGTCGGATCATGTCCTCGTCCGTACACGCCTGAAAGTTCACCTCTCATCCGCACCAAAAATGCCACGTCCTAGACGCCTCAATGTCACAAATATCCGGCAAGCCAGCACTGCCGAGGCCCTAAGCAGAGAAATCCGGACCTGTTTTACGGCCCGAGCCGACGGAGAAGTCAGTAACCAATGGTCGTCACTGAAGACATCGGTCTATGGGGCTGCTGAGAAAATCCTTGGATACACCCAGCGACGCCGCAGTAACTGGATCAGCGGAAGAACCCTGCAGTTGTCTGCTCAGACGGCTAGAGCCAGGTCGCGCAACGATGACTACTTCCGCCAACTTCGGAAGATGACGGCAAAATCGGCCAGGGATGACCGGAAACAATATTTGGCTGAAATAGCGACATCCATGGAACAGGCCTCGAACGTTGGTGACACTCGAAAGCTCTACCGTCTGATCGGCCAAGTTAGCGGTAAGCCCTCTACACTGAGTGACTCTGTTCGCGATGTGAACGGCGGCTTTATTGCTGACAACTCGGCCAAAGTCGAGCGCTGGTGTGAGCACTTTGAGCACCATCTCAACTTTGATACCCAACCTACATCGCCCTTGTTCTCCTCCTCAGCGGAGTTTCTTCCCTCTCCTACCTATGCAGTGCCATGCGATCCCCCCTCCGAGGAAGAAGTCGCCGATGCCATACGAAAGTTGCGCAACAATAAGGCACCCGGAGAGGACTGTATACCCGCTGAAATCTTTAAGTCCTGTGTCGACACTCTCGCGCCCTGGCTCCATGAGGTGATTGAACGCGCGTGGAGAGACGAAGTTTTTCCTGATGACTGGGGCTTAGGCATCCTTGTACCTGTCCTCAAGAAGGGAGATAAGACGAGATGCGAGAACTACCGCGGCATAAGTCTCATCGACGTTGCTACGAAGATCTTTGCTATTGTCCTACTCGGACGATTCCAGCCTGTGCGTGACTCAAGGACGAGGCCCAACCAAGCCGGATTTCGTGCTGGACGTGGATGCGTAGATCAGATATTCACACTGAGGCGCATTCTCGAATTTCGCCATAGCTAACAACAACCGACGGCCGTCTGCTTCGTTGACTTTGCCGCCGCGTTCGATTCCGTTCACCGTGAGTCCCTGTGGCGGATAATGCCGCTAGATGGTGTACCGGCCAAAATCATCGCTATGATCAAGGCCTACTATCGTTCCACTACTGCGAGAGTCCTGGTCCGTAACAATTTTTCCCAACCGTTCGGTATTCGGTCTGGCGTCCGACAGGGTTGTATACTGTCACCCATACTGTTCAACTACGCTATTGACTGGATCCTCGGGAGGGCCCTACGCGACAGTGACGGTGTTGAATTTGCACCCGGACATCGACTGACTGATCTCGAATATGCCGATGATATCGCCTTACTTGCTTCAAGTTTTGGTGATCTGCAGTCTGTGGTGTCACGAGTGAACGAGGTCGCTAAATCAGTCGGTATGTCCATAAACGCTGGGAAGACCAAAGTATTCTCAAGCTGCATTCCTGACCAGGAGAAGGCACCCCTGGGGATTGATGGCTGTCAACTTGAAGAAGTGGACAGTTTTAAATACCTCGGGGCGCGGCTGCTGCCTAATGGACAGAGTGAGGACGACATTTTCTCCCGAATCGATGCTGCCCGCTGGGTTTTTTCAAGCCTTCGGAAATGCCTGTGGAACCGAAGTGACCTATCCATCGCCACTAAGATTCGCGTGTACCGTGCATCTGGCCGGTCTGTCCTTCTCTACGGTTGTGAATGCTGGGCTTTGAGTATGGCGGATGAGCGAAAACTGGAGGTATTTGACCACCACTGCTTGAGGATCATCCTTCGAGTGAAGTTCAGCGACTTCGTCTCAAATGAGATAGTCCGCGCTCGCTGCGACAACATCGCGAGGATAACTCAGGCCATCCAAGAAAGACGACTGGGGTGGTTCGGGCATGTTCTTCATCGTCCACCTCAGGAGCTCAGTGTTACTGCCCTCGATCCGGCACAGTTGCCTAATTAGAGGCGTCGAAAAGGGGGTCAGTTCAAAACCTGGCTCGACACTGTCCGTCAAGACATGGAGGTGGTTCTTGGACCTTCGGTATTCGGTCTCCGTCGTTGGCGAAGGGAATGGGTTGAACAGTCTAGATCTGCGGCCGTGGATCGTCACGCGTGGAGAGGTACAATTCGGGACATCATCGAGGCCGGCTAGATCAGGCATGATCGCAGCATGAAATTTCCAAACTATTTTGTCGCAGAAGAACTTAAGAATAGTGATTTGCTGTTAAGTTCTAAAAATTGATCCTCAGGAGAACTTATTTGAACAGCTGACGATTGAAAGTAGACTGCTAGCTTTTCCCTTTGGCATTTATATTTGGTTAGCTCACCCATCATTAGGCCTATTAAAGGTGGTATACATGGGTTTTTTTTCCTTCAAAGTCCTGGGCTGTCATGCGACCATGAACTTACTGTTCCAGTGCTTCTTCAACGGGAGCACAATGACAGAACACATAACCAATATCGCTAAACAACCAAAACAACATTCTTACTTTACACCGAATCGCTATTGTAAAAAATTGAAGTTTAGTCTGCTATGCTTTATGCTTTCGCTATCCTTCTGAAGCACTGCTGTTTTGCATATAATCGCCAAAAAAATTTATCCTTATTTCACGATGTATTCTTCAAGTACTGTCTACGATTTTTCTAGACAGATACATATTTCGAAACAAACATTAATTTCTTTGCGTGTTTACTGCAAATTAACGCACGACACATTTGCTTGTTGATGGGGGCATAGTAGAGCTCTTACATGTTTACCCCTAAACTGTAGTTCATCTATACTTAAAGTTAGAAGTAACAGCGTTGTCCTTGGGGAAAACCAATTTTTACAGTGAATTTCAATTTCCTTATGAACTATAAAATCTACGTCGAAAATGGTGCCATCTCTTTCCTCAAAAGATGACGTGTCCATTAATTTGGCAGAAGGGAACTATACTCTACAATAACGCACACTGACCTTACCCGGATATTACAAACCCGTATGAAATAATCGTCGATTAAAAGACCTAGTAGGGCGTTGGACATCGTCAGTCTCATTACCATGCAGGCGGTTGTATCCCCATCAGTCTAAGTGGATTTCACGCAGGTGTCTGACATTACGCCACATCACGTCTGGATCCTCTAAGACAAATGTTTACATTCTTAAAATTCACCACACTGTTGCCTAATTTGGCATTTTTGCAGACAATTCGCAACAGGTTGATCATTAAATTTAGACAAAGGTCGGTCAGTGTCCCATGCATGCCTCAACCGCCCGGGCTGGGCTTAGCAAAACCGTCTTCAAAACTGTCTATCATACAAACTGCTTCTTTTATCTGCCCCAGACAGCAGCGTTGTCGGTATCGCGAGAAGTGATCAGTGACTAACCAGGCTGCTGGCATGAAATTTCCAAACTTTCCTCGCAGAAGAACTTGTGCCACACTGAAATTACGGAAAGATTGAACCTTGAAGCAGATGTCATTTATAATTTGGCCCTTGGTAACATAGGGAGTAAAGTAACTGGTTGCTAATCATTCTTTTTACCTATCCATTACTAGCTAAATAAAGAGGACTTTCAGTCAAACAAGGATAAAACCTGTCTCAAGAGCCTTATGCAAATACTTTATTATCTAAACGCAGCTGAAGGATATAATGCGGGATTTAACAAGAGTGACAATTCTAAATGATGGAAAGTGACTAGATTTTGCAGTGCACTGGTTTGAGGGGAATAGACCTCATGGACATCACCGGCCGCTTCCGTTGTGTAGCATTTTTTGGTCGGTTTGGATTCAGAAATTTTTGCGCGGCTGTTAGAAAGTCTGCGTGATGTATTTTGGTAACGCCTATGATGTTTGGCCCATACGTTGACGTATTCCAGTTTGATATTTCGAAAAAAACTCGACTTTTAGCCGGCCCAATATCATAGCTTTTTGTACCACCCTAAATGAAGTCGAGATTCACAATACGTGTAACCTATTTTATAATAAACCATTCGGAAACAATGTAAGGCATATACTACAGAGAAAAGTATACCTGATTCCGAGTGCATATGACACTATTCCAGACGACATCACAGGAGTAGGCCCTAGAACGCTTATACAGTACTGGCCAGGGCGCTTGACAATTATAAACACGTGTACTGTCAGGAAGGCTGGCGTTATAAGATGGTCTGATGAATTTACATTCTCCTTCTGTCATAATAAGCGAAGAAATTTGGTTGATGAGGTGTGCAGCAACAGTGCCAACTTGAATAATATCGTTATCGCGCGGGCAATTCTCAACGTCTGCAGGGCAATGAAATCAATCTCATTAGAATGATGCGTTCGGGTCGAAGATAGCAGTCGACAGCTGTATTAATACTTTCTGCTAGTTTCGTTGTCATTATTTCTTATAAAAACTGTTTGTCGCCGCAGTTACACACAACTATAAAACTTAGAAGATCAGGCAGGGAGTAACTTCGCACTGCTTATGTCAATCAGTAAATAGCAGCTCTATCGAGATAGAATCCCAACAATATGAGGATTCTGGAAAGAGTCTGGTTTCAGTTGGACGACTTAGGAAGAATTTTACGAAAAGCAAATGATTAAATACATAGTTAGAAAACGTGTGTGCTCTTTAGCCTGAAACTTGACACATTTGATCGCAACAAGACAATTACACCGCGTGCAAAGCAGACGTTTAGATATCTATATGTACTTTCAAATCAGTAGTTTAATTGCCATCAATGAATTTCTATGTTAAAATAAGAGCCAGCAGGCATTAACATAGGTAAAACATACGAGGTAGTGAAGAACAGGCGTAGTGCCCATTGACCAAACATAACATGAGCAGCAAAACTCTGCATGGCATGTTGCATTGACGTATGCACAAACTAATGTCACTGTACATTAGGGTAGGGCAAATATCCTTGACAAGGAAACTGTAAACCAATCAAAATAACTAAAATTTACCTAGACTCGCGATAGCATAGCATTAGGTTGAAAATCACGAAAAAATTTAATTATGGGATATATAATGATAATTGACTTTTGGAAGTAAAAATTTGTCATAAGTACAAGGGAGCCTAAATATAAATTTGAATCAAACTGCATCTTGTGAGGTAGCTTTTAAGAAAACCTGCCTTCAAATCGATTTCTTTGCAGAAGCAAATAAAGGTCTGGAGGGAGATTATTACGCTGTGCACGCACACAAATGCAATACCTTCTTCTTTTTAGTTCATGCATGTTTTTCCTCAGTATTTTGTAAATGACGGCTAGTAATTTGTACGTTTTAACTTAAGTTTCATGAAAATATTTAAGGAGCTGTTGTAAATTTACTAAACGCTATTCGGAATATTTAATCTTTGCACAATCTAATGCGTTCGTTATTCGGTTCACTTGTACGTACATTAGTAACTAGTAGATTGTCGATAATGAGCTCGAGCATGCTTATTTTAACACCCGGCATGGCGTTTTTGCCTTTTATATATCCCTTACTTATTAAAATAGTTCATGTTAAATAAACGTTTACAACTATCTATTGCACATAGGCGAATAAGGTTTTTGTATATTTTGACAGCCCAAAATACTCGTTTTATATGCTCGGGAGGGGGATGATTTTCGATGAAATGTTTTCGGTTGTTATGAGCGAACATTAGACACGATAACTGAGCGGCCGGTTACGCAAGTGTTTTCCAGATAGAATATATTGAATGTAAAACAGCTTGTGATTAGCCAGCATACAATGAGTCTCATTGGTATGATTTCCAAAGCTTTCTTCCATTTCGTGACAGGATGTTTTCTGTTGTTCATAGTTTTAAACGACAGAAACGGGTAACACTGTGTCCGAAGACATGCTCATCTGAGAGCTCTTCACAACTGTTCCTCAACACTCAAATATCATAATGTAAGTATGCCTGAAGGGTGTTTTTTTAATTTACCTCTGTATGGTTCGAACAAAGTTGTACCAAAGATGTACCACCATATCCCCTTGCCAATAACGTATTCTGTCAGAGATTGTACAGAAGAAATAAAATATGAGGAGTGG